GAGACAAACAGACAGACAGACAGACAGACAGACAGACAGACAGACAGACAGACAGACAGACAGACAGACAGACAGACAGACAGGCGTGTCGTGACAGGACGTGGCGGGGCCAGCCTCCCGCCCAGTGACCCAGCGATCAAACCCAACCCCTCCACGCCACTGGTCACTCGGCTCAGCCAGCGTCAGCCAATGGTCACTCGGTTGTCCAGTCAGCAGCAGTGGTCACTCGGTGGTCCAATCAGCAGCAGTCATCTATACAGTTGACAGCAGATAGACAGCTTCGCGCCAGCAGAGAGAGCCACAGTAGTTGTCCAGTCACCCGCATACCGACAGCTCAAAGTCAGAGGTTACTTAGTAGTTGTCCAGTCTCCAGAAGATATTCAGCGCAAAGTCATTGGTAACTTAGTAGTTGTCCAGTCACTCGTAGACCGACAGCTCAAAGTCAGAGATTACTTAGTAGTTGTCCAGTCTTCAGAAGACAGTCAGATTAAAGTCAGTGCTCACTTAATAGTTGTCCATTGACCAGCTGACAGTCATTTCTGAGCCAGCAGTGAGAAAGAGACACGTGTCCACCAATTACTGACCAGCCCATCGTCAGCAGACAGTAGAAGCGAGTGGTCCCCACCACATTCTATATCTACCCACGATCTCTCAAATCACCACACACTGCCGTTTACTTTGCTGAGATTCGGACGTCTTGAGAAGAAACTCCAGCAGCAGCGTGCATGTAAGTTGCCCTTTTTTTTTTTAACAACTTTCTTCCTTTATTCTTGTTGTTTTAATTATTTATGATCATTGTAAACTGCTGCTTTTTCTCTTGTCGTTCTTTTATAAACTCTTTTATTTTTGTTTTCATTTTAAATTATGACATGTTTACCCTCACTGTACGGTCAGATTCATTAATCAAACTGTACTGTGAACTGTTGTGAATGCATCCCAACTTGTGTTTTTTCGCGCTGAGACTCATATTACCAATCATTATATTATTATGACCACGTTGTGACCGCCATAAAACTCGAACTAAACTAGATCCAAACTAAACCAAACTAAACCAAACTAAACTAAACCAAACTAAACTAAATCCAAACTAAACTAAATCCAAACTAAACTAAACTGTTGTCAATTTTATACCCCATTTGACTGATTTAAAAAATAACATGTGTATGTAGATCTCTATCTAAACATTTACATTACACCCCTCCATAGACATGATTGAGATAATTCAGAGCTTGTGTGGTTTGGTCCTTCTTTTTCCTGTCAAACATCTATCGTCTTTATCTGACATCCTTCTTTTTCGTGTTTATTACTCTCTTGTAACACATTTAATTTTAATCTTACTTACTTATATGACTTAATTGTGTTGCAAGTGCCGTGAAAATTATCAAAACTAAAACTAAAATGAGGACTGCTGTACCCACGTATACAAATGTAGATTTATTACTCTCTTGTAACACCTTGAATCTGAGGTATTTATCTGACTTTATTGTGTTGCAAGTGTTGTTAAAGTTATAAAAACTAAAACTAAACTATAAACTAAACTAAGCACTGTTGGACCCCGTGTAAAAATGTAGGTTTATCACTATCTTGTAAACCCTTGAATCTTAGGTATTTATCTCACCTAATTGTATTGCAAGTGCCGTAAAAGTTACTAAACCTAAACTGCATGTATAACTAAATATTGGTTGGTCCCACGTGTAAATAATCACTATCTTGTAACACCTTGAATCTTCGGTATTTATCAGACCTGATTGTGTTGTAAGAGCCGTAAAAGTTACGAAAACTAAACTATAAATTAAACTGTTGGAACCACGTGTAAAAATGTAGGTTTATTACTCTCTTGTAACACCTTGAATCTTCGGTACTTATCTGGATAAATTGTGTTGCAAGTGCCGTAAAAGTTATAAAAACCAAACTATTAACTAAACAGAGAGATGTTGGACCCACGTGTACAAATGTAGGTAAATCACTCGGTAGCTCAATCACAGTCATGTAAGCTGTCCCCAAGGTTTTATGCACCCCGCATAATTTAGCAAAATTTGATCTTTTTTGGGGGGGCATAATTTCTGATTATTTTCCTTTATCATTCTTTTTCTTAAAATTAACAGAATCGCATAATTTCACTTTTTGGGGGGCTCAGTTTGCATAGTTTCAGTCACAATTTTCCTTGCATAAAACGACGGGGACAGAGTAAGTCACTAAGTGTGAGCCAACCCGCGGCCTTATGAACACGTGCTTTCCGCCATGTCGGGCTACGAGAATTCAGATCTCCTCAGCATTCAGAATTTTGCTCTGTCGTTCTACTAAAGCACTAAATTTTTCATTCATGATGATGATAATGATGATGATAATGATGATGATAATGATGATGATGATGATGATGATGATGATGATGATAATGATAATGATAATGATGATGATAATGATGATGATGTCCGCCTTGTAAAAGTCATGCTTTTCCTCGTGTTGCAGTGGTGTAAGTTGTTTGGATGATCGGGTATTG